ACTCATCTTCAACCTCTTATCCTCCGTTCCTACCCTTCCAAACCTATCTTCCGCCACACCTCCCCTCCATCTTCCTCCCCGTTGTCGTAGATTGAAAACCTCAGCGAGCTCCGCATATTCATCATCGCGTTGTCAAATTTTACCAACAGGAACACCTGCGCGTCACGCTCCCCATCATCATCATCGCGCTATCGGCAGTAATTTGAGTAACCAGCTCCCACACAAGCTATATTCCAATATCTCATAAACCGTATCATTCAACACCAGTAACTCCGGCAGCCGTGTCCAGGTCTTCTGCTTCGACCACAACATTCAGCTCCTTACCATCGGCAAAGATCTCAAGCTCTTTCTTCAGGTCAAGCCTAGCCTCTACAGTCAAGTCCCTGATCAATCTTCTCAATAAGGCTGACAGCCTAGTTTCCAAGTAGCTTCTTCACTCTCGTTCGCGTTGCAGCTACAACTGACCTTATGGATTTAGAGGGTGATGCTTCAGACCGCATTCTCCAGGAGAGGATGCAACTGTTTCTTGTTTGGAAATTGCAGTTTCGTTAATTTTTCAAAACTCAGTGCACAATTCCATTCACATCACATGTTTGCTTTGTTTTCAAATTTCAAAAGGTTATGGATCTGAAAAGGTTAGGGATTTGCTAAGTATTCTTTAAAAAAAATGGGTTGAAGATGGGTTAGTGGTAAGGAGGGGGATGAGCGCCAAGGAAGGGAGGTGGAGATGGAGGAATAGAGGGTGGTGGGGGGTTTTGGTTTTGGTGTTGAAGGAAGGTTAGGGCAACACTGGTTGATGGGGAAGAAAGGGTGAGGGGGATAAGGAGCGGGTCCCTCATGCAAAAAAAAAATTAAATGATTTTATTTTTTTAGTTTTTAATATTTAATTTATTTTTTTATTTTTTTATTAATTTTTTAATAGAGAGTGGGCCCGTTTCAAGCCACGTCACTATATAAATGAAGAATTGACAGACAAACTGATGGAATGTATGAAATTGTAACAAATTCATAGATGAGGTATGACATTGAAATTTTCTAAAGATGAGGTATAAAACTGTGACTGACCCAATAGTTGAGGTAGTTTTATGTAATTTACCCATAAAATTATTACATAAAATAACTTCACACATATATAATCATTTTTTTTTTTTAAATACGGGGTATTACAAGTAGGGCCTCTTGAGCTTGGAATAGTCTTTTGGTGGGTAGAAATCTGTTGATGAAAGGGTCACACTGGCAAATAATGGATGGCTGTACTGTCCGTCTTTGGGTGGATCGTTGGCTGCCCTCCCTTTTGTTGGGTCATCCTATGCCCAGAGCGGTGTCCATGACTAGGGATACACGGGTGGCGTCTCTCATGTGTTTTTCTCCATGCTCATGGGATTTAAGTTTTCTTCAACCATTCTTGTCGGCGGATGAGTGGAATACTATCTTAGAGACACCCATTGGGGATCCTCAGAGACATGATCGCCTTGTTTAGCCTTCTACCAAGAATGGGTTGTATGTGGTCAAGTCTGGCTATCATTGGGCTCGATCTTTGCAGGGTTCCCCGGTGGATATCCGACCATCCTCTTCCTCCTCTATATCGAAACAGGTTTAGCAGCTTATTTGGAAGTTGAGAACTCCGCCTAAACTTCGTAATTTTATGTGGCAGATTGCTTATCATGCTCTGGCTATGTTGGAGAATCTATTTTTACGTAAAATTGTCCCATCACCTATGTGTCCGATATGCAACGGTCAGGAGGAGTCTCTTGAGTATCTATTCTTGTTATGCCCTTGGGTGGAGACTATTTGGTTTGGTGGCATTCTAAATTACAAAGTTGATAGACGAATGATCTATTCATGGATGGATTGGTTTCATTCCATTGCTACTCGGAGGTTTGGGTCTAAGGAGGAGTAGGGTATTTTGCTTTCTCATGTCGCATTTAGGTGTCGGCATATTTGGAAAGCCAGTGCAATTTTATAGTCCAATCAATCTCCTATAAATCCTACCCAGGTTATTCTTGCCATTTCAACTTCCGTTGGAGTGTTCCTCGGCGTGATTGGTGCTCATTCTCTTTCCCTCCAAGCTCCCCCTTCATTCCCTTTCCTCAAAGTGAATGTGGATGCTAGCTGGTCTACATTTTCTCTATCTAGTTTTTTCAGGATTGTGATTAGGGGTGAGAGGGGTAGGTTTGTGGCTGCGATGAAGTCTGAGGTCCAAGCTCCTAATGCAGCCACGGCCGAAGCTTTGGCTATTTTGAGAGGGTGTGAATTTGCTGCGGTTTTGGGGCATTGTTGCGTCATCATAGAGTCTGATTCGAAGGATATGATTTCATCTTTATCAACTTCGTTGGAAACTGGCAGATGGGAGGCCTTTCCTACCTTAACAGTTGTTAAACGGTTCGGGAAGTCCCTTCAGGACTGTCGCTGGTCTTGGCTTCCAAGGTCAACCAATATGGCGGCGGATACGTTAGCGTCGCACAGTATACGAAGATGTGCAGTATTACTTGGGTCAGTAGACCTCCATCAACGTTGGTTCATGTACTCAATAAAGATGGCTTACCTTGTTCCCATTGATCTATGGTGGCAGTTGTAGGCGTGACACTTGAACACAGTTCTAGTGTCTTCACTGCTTTGTTTTTTGTTGCTTTGTTGTTTGTTGGCCTCGGTGTAGGCTTTCCTTGTACCTCTCTGACATCTTTGCCCTGGTAATACACTTCTAGTTTCCCAAAAAAAAAAAACACAAGAATTAATCGTCCGATTCCTTCAAATCTTCTCCTATAAGCCTGAAATGATTAGCCAGTATATGCGTGCATTAATTCGTAATTTTCATACAATATTACACAACAAAAGAATAAAAATAAAATCAGGTATTTAAAAGATTCTCTCAATTTTTACAACAATATATTTGCAATAAGGGATGGGGGATTGAGACTAAACCACACAATGACCAATCATAACAAATTGATATCGAACTCGTCTTTTACAAGAATCAAATCTAAGACCTACCAGTTACAAATAGAGAGGAATGTCACTAAACTTCTAATACTAACACTACACCATAACCTCAACTAAATAAATAAATACGCATTATTTGTAAGAATAAATAAACATTATTTGTACGAATGAATTAATCTACTATTCATGTTCATGATCACTTGAATCAGCTTCGCTAGCTCGATCATCATCTTCTTGGTCGTCTTTAGTTATGGAAGCTATGTTTTGATGCTCCTGTTTCTTCATTTTATCAGATACGTATTTTTCAAATTCTTCATAGTCAAAAGTTCCCTTCACTACCACTTGTAACTGGTCCTCACTGACCACAATAAACCCTAGCATACAAAAAGTTTCACAATAAGTTGGGAAATTTTCTAAATATGTATACGGAAATTAAGGAGTATGTAACAAATTACGGGGAGACATATGTATATATAGGGATGGATGATAGGAATTTACACACCTTCCATTTTCTTGCCCCATCTCTTGACATTCTTCACACAGTTGTCACAGGGTTTCTTAAATTTTAACACAGCATGCACCTGTCAGTAAAGAAACAGCAAACGGAAAAAAGATTGTGATTCAAAGTTAAATATATTCGTCATACATGCATCCATAAAATATCAACAGTAAAATGATGAACTTTCTAAATTCCAATTCCTGCACTAATCTTAATGGCAAAATTAATTAGCATTATCACGACACCTCATCATCTTCTGAGGGAAGTCGCTCGTATTTCCAATAATTTGTTTTCTTCATTTTGAAAAGAGAACTTGTTTTCTTTACCAATTTACAAAAAGTGTTCATGGTTTCATAAACCCTCGATATCTCACTCTAAATTTCTTCTCTTAATCTGTCATTTATCTTATACAGTTTTATGGTACCATCTGTATGTATTCATTTGTTGTTATTGAAAACGAAAATCTCTCTAAGCAATCAATTAGGCTTGCTAGCATTTAAAAATTGCACCTGCTTGAATTGAAGTAGAATCTCTGCTAGGAGATCACATCTTCTGCACTCCAAAATAAGTGTGATCTCTTTGTGGTCCATTTCGTGACTAACATGTGTTTATAAACTTAATTTTTCTTAATTTTATTATCAGTCAATTGCTGATTAGGACGACAGAAATACCATATTCTTTTTGGGTGCAGAAAATTTGATTTGCTCCGGCTAGGCTTTAGACTTGGAACGGGTCAAATTTGGAACCGACGGTTTGTGGGCCAAAAGAATTAATCCAGCTAATTATTAGTTTGGGTTGTCAAAAAAGAATTGCTAGTTTGGGCCTCCACTATGGTACAAAAAAATAAGAAGACCGTGTTGTTCGACACGTGTTGCTCCAGTAACTTTCCACGTTGGCATGCAGCCAAGTGTCGTTAGGGGGTTACTACACGTAAAAACACAGGAGGATATTCTGCAGTGAACCCGCCTTGTAATATTTTCACATGATTGCTCTCACCGTTTCCTTCGTCTTTTCATTCGGAGACCCTTTCGTTTTGGCTTTTGAATGAATCAATTCATTTGCTTTCCTTCTCACTCATCACACGTACAGAAAGATTTCTCTCTCTCTCTCTCTCTCTCTCTCAGAGTAAGTTTCAATTAATTTGAATAATTTTCATTAATATTTGTTGTGGCCAGTTAATTTGCTTGTGGCATTTCATTTGCTTTCTTTTGCTTATTGGATCCAATCAAACATTAACGCTTAATCAAGATTTTTTGTTAGATCAATGATTAATCGAGTTAAATCTTTTATTTTGAAAAAAATATGATTCAGATTAACCAAGTTATATCCTTGTTGGAACAGTTCCAATTGGTAATAATTAATATATAGCCAATTCTCTTTCATGTTGGATTTGTTTGATTCAGATGATTTAATTCTATTTTGTTTGTGTTTGTTTTTACTTTTCAGGTTCTGTACGAGCAGGAACTCACTAACTAAATACTTATATTATCTAGCTAGTTTGATTAATACCCATTCAGTCACCCTCTGAGACCAAAATATTAAACATCTGCAAAAAGAAGACATGTCAGGTGTATCTCTTGCCGTGGCTCCTAGATCGGAGCCCGACACAACCACCACAACCCCAGGATCCAAACCCCAACAGAAACCGCTCCGCCGCCAACAGCACCAGCAGCCTGCAGTAGGCGGTGTAATGGGCTCTCTGCGAGTAATAGAGCTCCAACTCGTGGCCTTCATCATGGTTTTCTCGGCCAGTGGCCTTGTCCCGCTTTTTGATTTGATCTTCCCGGCTTTTGCCACCGTATACCTTTTAGCCCTGTCACGTTTGGCGTTCCCTTCCCACGGCGCTGTCAGCACTGGTTCACAGGAGATTTTCCATGGCAGCAGATTCTTCAGGTTCTATGTGATTGTGGGAACCACAGTTGGGCTCTTCTTGCCGCTTGCATACGTGTTGGGTGGCTTTGCGAGGGGCGATGAGCACGCTGTCCGCTCTGCAACGCCTCACTTGTTCTTGCTCTCGTGTCAGATTCTGACTGAGAATGTGATTAGCGGGTTGTCACTGTTTTCAGCGCCGGTGAGGGCATTGGTCCCATTGCTTTACACTGTCAGGAGGATCTTTGTCGTCCTTGATTGGATGAAAGATGTTTGGCTTAACAAAACTCTGCCTGCCAATGCACAGTTTAAGGTAATTATTATATTGCTTGTGTTTTGGGAGAAAAACTTCTGTGGTATGTTCATGCTACGTGCCAATTGTAGTAATTAAAAGAAACATGACGGTTAAATGATGGCACGAGCTCAAAATGTGGTTCCAGTATGAGTGCACGTAGGAGGAACACCTCCACATAGGTTTTTCTGTTGTTTTGGAAATTTGCTTCTTAATTAATTTTCTTACTTTGTGCTTTGGCTAGTGTTTACTGATTGATGTTATGTTGGGGCACTTGTTGTAGGATGTTGCATGGTTTTGGTTTGGGAGAAGCCTGGCTGTAGCCAATTTCTTATATTTCTCGATCAACCTGTTCGGATTTTTGATCCCTCGATTCCTTCCGAGGGCGTTTGAGAGGTACTTCAGGGAGAGGGATGAAGTTGGGGCCAAGATGGTAGAGGACAAGCGCTCCGCCGCAGCAAATAAGCCGGAACCATTTGCAAATAAGAAAAGTGATTGATTTCGGGTTTGGTGCCATATATATTATATACTACGATGTTCGGTTTTCCTTAACATCAGGAGCGGGAGTGCTGGCAGAACGGCCGTTCGGGTCTAAAATAATTGGAGGCATCAACATTATTAGAATAGTATATTTATATATGTTTTTATAAGAGTATAAATTTATAAAATTTGATTCAATGACCAAGAAATTAAACTAGAATTGATGGTTTTGTTGTTTGAAATTGAAGAGAGTGCTTTGGGTTCAAAATACCGTTTGTGCTTATTTACTTTTTAATTTTTACAAATTTCTTTAAGTTTAAAATGTTAAGTGCATGTTTATTATTTTCAATTTTTAAGAATTTTTGTTTCGTTGTTAATTTATTTTTAATTAGTAGTTAGTAGCTATGTGGGTTGTTATTTTTAAACATTTGTTTCAATTCAAGTCTAATTTTCAACAAAGAGTAATGCGTTGATCAAATTTTGAGATCAAATTTGCAAAACATATGACGTGTCATAAAAAAGTTTAATTTAGTATCAATTTATTACTTATACATGTCAATTAAAGATTTAAAAATATCATTATTTTTTTAGTTACATATTGACAAGGTTAGTTAATAAGAAAAAACACATCACGATTTACACAAAAACACTTTAAAAGTTCAGATGGAAAACAAAATTTATGTCTATCTACTTGTGAACCCAAATTTTTTTGTTTCCTTCTCATGATACAAAATAAATTAGTTTTCTGTGTTTCTAAATTATTAAGTTTAAAGTGTTTTTCTAAGTATAATTTTATCGATGTCTTACGTGTGAAAATAAATAATTTTCTTATATAAAATAAGGGCACGTTTTTTTAGCATCGTCCCAGATCTTAAAAAACTCTAAACCTGCCCTGCTTAACATGGATACAATGTACTGCTACTCCCTCTATATGCATGGATCATTGATCTATATCAGTTTGCTTTGTTCAACTTTTGTTGATGTTGTCTCGCTTGCTGAGGTAGATACCTCGATAGATTGGAATGCAAAAGTAGTTCATTTTAAAGTTCCAAATGTATTGCAATCGACCGGCGGAATTGCTTGTTTTTGTTTTAAGTGCCTCTTTCAGTACAAGGAGACCGAGTGCTTGAAGTGCTAGTGGTTCAAGCGATCTGTGACAAGTTCAGACCCTTTTCAACAACATAATGTGAAGACCGAGCGCGAGTAGTTCTTTTTTGGTAAGGTAATTAGTTCATCCAACAAAGTCCGAAAAGACAACGTTATGCAACAAGTAAAATGTCATTCGCAAAACAAAAATTCTTGCGGACCAAGGATTCATACCTTGCTCGTTGCAATTTCGTAGTCGATTTATTCATTTGATCTACCTATGCTCATTTCTAATTAAAATAAATAAATAAAAACACGGATGTATAGAAAGAGAAAAAGAGCTTGCGGATGAAATTTTTCGAATTTAGAGTCGATGATAATGCAACTCCAAAATTTACATCATTTTGGAAAAGTTAACATCAAAGCCCATTATGTTTTTGTTTTTCTAGGTTATAGACCTATCCTTATTTATTCTCTGTAAGAAAAAATATTGGCCGTTGATTTTTATTGTAAAGTAGAACGGATGGGATTTGAGAGGTAGGAAAGACAATGCATTGAGGAGGAGGCATCGTTTTTTTTATGTACTTAATATCTTAGTGAATTGCGTCGTGTCAGACTTATTAAAATTAATACATAAGAGGACCCGATTCAAACTCGATTCGTTAAAATTAACAAGTAATTTGACCGAATTTGTTACTCTCAAAGAAAATATATGTTACTTCAATAAATAATCAAATGAAATGCATCATACTAAAACTAGTATCCATACACGACATTGTCACGTAAAAATTACTTTTATACAAAAAAACGCATTTGTCTTTCAAGTATTTCATACCCAAATAAGAGTTTAATGAAAAATCATTAGTACACAAATACAAAATATCAAATGTACAAGAATATGCAAATTGCAAAATGAAAGAAGTTTTTTTCAAGGTTGTGGTGCGTTTATCAAAGTTATAACCTTGTCATTGAGATTCAAAACCTTTCAATTTTCATCAAGCATCAAGGTAAATAGTATTGAAACTTTGGCATGATCTATTGCTTCAAAGAGTTAGATTAATTGATGATGTTTTTGGTAAACTATTTAAATTTTGAGAAATTTACCAATAATAACTATGAAAACAAATAGAATAACAATATTATATTACATACAAGATACATTAACTTTTTTTGAAAAAGTCAATCCGGTATGCATAACAAAACTTGAACCATATTTGTAACAATAAAGCACGATGCTAATTTAGTACTTTATATCCCATAACAAATATAGATTTTGATGCAACAGTTAAAATATTAAAAAACATATCTTGTGCTAAGTATCAAATAATGAAAACGTTTCATTTGTCACCAAGAAAGAACATATACGTGCTATTGTAGCAAGATTTTCTTATTAGCTAAAAATTATTAAATTAACATTTTTTTAACGTGTTAAAATGAATTAATAGTTCTTAACGATAGACCTAACAACGACTTGAACAATTAAAATATTAATCCATAATATTTATCCTCGTGTTATTTCAGTAGCCACTCCACAGTCCGCCTCAATTGGCGCTTCTCATAGTACTTTCGGTCGGTTGTCATCTTGTTCTTATCTTTGCAATCGGGAGCTAAATGACTATTGTACCCCAATCAAAATTCAGATATTGGGAAATAAACCTTTTCCGCCACATTCAAACTGCCAACAAAGCCCACGCGCGGAGATATACTCTCCTCCAAATGAATCTCTATTTTTATAATTCTATTATTTATCTATTTAATTATCATGATAAAAATTCTTTATTTCTTATAAAATAAAATATTCATCAATTTCTTTTAACTCAATTAGATATATATCTCAAATATTTTTGAATAGGCTAATATTTTGTTAGAATGATCTATGAAATGCAACTTAAAAAATAAACACTTCAAATCGTTAAAATTCAATCTGATGTGGGCTCCTCGTTTAAAAAATAAATATATAAATAAATAAATAAAGGGGGAACCCCTTCCCTTAAGGGCATCCTACAACTAAATGTTGACCATATGTTTGATTATTTTTAAGTAAAATGCAAACTACTAGATATTGATCCATGTCTATGTGATAACAAGTTTGTTTTCTTTAGCTTTTAAAGAAATTTTATATATCTTGCATGCTTTTTACTATATCAACTTACTTTAGTTATAAACGTTCAAATTGCGCACGTTATGTTGCTTAATTGACACCATAAATTGGTTGACACACAAACAAAATTTTACAAAGGATTTAGGCATTCAATTAATTATCCATTTTTCTTTGGTTGTCGCATTACGGTTTACTTTTTGATTGTTGATGGTTAACAAGAGAACGAAATTATTAATTCACAATTAACTGAAGATGGATGTTCTTTTTTATTTATTCATTGAAGATATAAAAACTATTGCATTTTCTATGTTAGTGAGGTATTCTTATTTAGTATGTGTTTACATGCAAGATTAGATAAGAACATCCATTGACGCATGTAGAGTCATGTATAGTTTAACTTGGTCCCATTTTTTTAGTCCTTAGCGACACCTAACTTTTTTCTAGTACAAACAGTATATCACACTAATTTACATTAAGGGAAAAGGTGAATGTTTGCATAAGAAAACGAGGGCATTGTGAATTAAAAAGAATATTCTAACTATTAAGGTAACCAGCATTTTACGGTTGCACCAAATATGATATTAGGATCCAAGTTAAGACAATCCTCTTTAATAGTGCAACAAATGGGGGTTTCAAGAGCAACAAGAATACAAGTATAATGTTTGGTTTCATGGGCAACAAGACTACAAGTACAAAACATTTGCAATAATACCCAAATAGGTGTGTAGTTCATCACATTTTGCAAATTAAAGAAGTGAAGAGTTTGGGTGTAATTTCCCCTAAAGAGGAAAGGCCTAAAAGGTACGCGCCCCCGCGCGTACAGAAAAGCTAGTTAACCTGAAAAAGGAGGAACGGTGACGTCTCTCTGCTCCGCTCTCGACGTGATACTGCGCGACTGCTGTCCTGCCTTTTGACAGCCCCATCCCCCTTCTGTTTTCAAAACCCGACGAAAAATAAAAAATAAAAACCCTACCACTATTCACCGCCTCTCTCTCTCTCTCTCTTCTGTCTCTCTCTTAAGTTTTCACCATTCCAAAAATCCCTCTGCCTATTCACTAGCAGTTCCCAACTCTCTGAGGCAAAACATCAAACACCATGAAGATAAAGAACAAGGGCAAAGTCTACCCATCTCCCTCCTCCTCCGTCCCCGTCGGCTCCTCCTCCTCCGACGGGTATGTTCTCTCCGTTCTTCAACTCCTCCCAGCGGCCATTCTAGCTCTAGCCTCCGTCCTCTCTCTCGAGGACCGCGAGGTCCTGGCTTACTTGATTACCCGCTCCATGAAAAACACCCCCAACACTACTTCGTCTTCAATCCCGGCCGCCCAAGACCCCCAGAAAAAGACTTCCAAGAAAGGTCCTAAGAAGTCCGCCAGCACCGCCGCCGCCCATCAGCCTCCAATGTTCGATTGCGACTGCTTTGACTGCTACAGAAGCTACTGGTTCAAGTGGGACTCTTCCCCCAACCGCGAGCTCATCCACCAAGCCATTGAAGCCTTCGAGGACCACTTGGCTAACGGCGAGCGGCCCAAGAGGAACGCCGGCAGAGGCAAGAGAAGAGACAAGCAGGGCCGTCGGGACGCCCGCATTCCGGCCGATGTTTCTGCCCAAAATGAAATCTTTCTGGAAAAGAACGCCGTTCCAGCTTCGCCGGACTTTGTTCCAAACTCTGGTGCCGCCGTGGTGCCGGAAAATGAGGTTCTTTTCGTGGGTTCGCCTGAGAAGGCTGGTGGGGTCGAAGTAAATGAGGGGAAAGCGGAAGACTTGGGCGTGGATGTTACGGTAGCGCCGCCGGATACGGCGGATGACATGGCTGTGATTCCGAGGGCTGCGGCGGCGAGCAACCACAGGGGTTTGGCAAGGAAAGTGCTGCCGGACGTGTTGGGCCTCTTTAACTCTCGTTTGTGGAACCTTTGGAGTCCGAATGTCTAAAAAAAATGAAAAAAGTAATGAATTTCTGTCATATTTCGAGCCTCAAAAAAGAAAAAAAAGGAACGTACTATATGTTTTTATGGGTAGGTTTATTTTGTGCTCGAATATAGGTATGTTCCCCCCCCCAAAAACTCTCTCTCAATGAAAATGTTTATTTATTAATTTTTCTTGTTTTTAAAGGGTTTAACTTTAATCTCCATTTATCATAATATTCTTTCTTTATTTTTGCTTTGGAATCAAGCTATTTAGCTTTTTAACTTGGGAAGGATAATTTTGATTGTTTGAGGTGGGCCAATGGGTATCGAGTTTTTTGGAGTTTAGCGATGAATAATTAAAGAATTAGGATTAATCTAATTAATTAGTATTAATGTGATGTGATAGTTTGCGATTTCCTATGCTTCTCTGAGATATAAAACCAGCCCTGCAAACCACCTGGATATCAAGAACTGCCCTTTTGCTGTCTCTGTACCAGCAATCGGATGCAGTCTCGTTTACTAGGTTAATTTCGTCTTGTAATGAAGTGGAGGGAGACCTCTGTAGTTCAATGTGAATGTGGCGTTCCGAACTATTAATACAAAGAAACATATACGGGTTTCTTCACATGACTTTGTATTATGATCAGAATCGACACGATGACGGTAAACTCGTTAAGTCTTTGTCGTAATAATGAGCCAAGTAAATACCGTGAAATTACAGAAACAAAGCAGACACGGTTCCTTTTCTAAATCAAAGCGGACAAAGGCAACAATTAAATGCTTGTGAATGAATTGTCTGGTTTTATTTTGTTAGCTTTGAGACGGACAAAAGGTTGTGTCGCAAACTTACAAGTATTGCAGAAATAATGTGACAGATTACCATGAGGGAGAGGACCACTAGTAGTAGCAGACTTTTTATGCAAAATAGAGACAATTGGAACTGTAGGATGTGAGGGATAAAATATGAAATTATCCCTTATCTTCTTCCGTTTTGTTCACTTCCGTTTGACGATCGGAATTGTTTATCTTGTATATTACCCTTCAAAGATATTTTATGCAGAAAACCAACCAAATTATAAATGGTTAATCTTATAATTATTATCAAATAAGTAGACAGTTTCAACGTTTTGAGCAAGAGTAATGCTACGTATATTACATATTTATACCACATTAGTGTTTCATTTCACACCGAATTAGCACATTGTTGATTTTCTTTCGTCTTTTTTCTTTTCTAAAATTGATAGGGGCCTTGTGAACTTGACAATGTCAAGTATTAATAAAATTGTGCAAAACAGAGAAAAAGTGTAAATAATTTCTGAAATTAGAAAGAAGCAAATAAAGTGAAAAGCTGAATCTAAGGAGGGGAAGTGATTATTACATGTTTATTTATATTTATAATCATCAAATTGAATAAATTTCACAAATTAACGGTCAAGATTAAATAAGAGTATGTAAAAAACTAAATAAAACATGAGAAAATTTCTTTTATGAAATAAACAATGACATTTCTGAAACCGCAAGGATGCTGAAGAAAGCTACCACCGAATGCACAAATCTTGGTTATTATAGGCCCACTATTATTAAATAAAGCCACACTTCCTACAATATCTTTTCAATAAAGTAGTTCTTTTTTCTTTTCTTGTTAAACAAAGGGGCTAATAGCCCAGCAAAAGAGGATTACAAAATAATGTTGCGAGGTGGAGAGACTTCAGAAATATCAGATAATAATAATTGCTTAATTGTAAGAGAATGGAGCTTGCTTAAAATAGACCGGACCCAAAGGATGAGAAGGGCTGAAGTAAGGTTGACCAACTCATCAGCAACAAATTTCATCTCACGACAGATATGTTAAATATTACATTCTTAATCACGCAATAATATCGCGAGACAAGCTTTAATCTATTCACCAATAGAATAATTATCAGTGGCATCATGTGATATTAATTAGACAACAATTGTAGAATCAGACCCCACCAAAAAGCAATAAACACCTTTATTCCAAACAAATTGTAATCCAAAAAAATGCCTAAAAAGAATCCCTTGGGAATCTCTTCACGCCCAAAATTAACACAAAACTCATCATCCCTTGCTCCAAAGGAGTTCCTAAGAACACCACCTGCTTAAATAAAACTAAGAGGGCCTTTTCTACGATACATTGAGTTTAAACCACCCTTCTGGAAGCGGTTCCAATGAAAAAAAGTAAGGCCTTGGGTGCCTTATAAGAAGTAATAATATCTGCTCGTAGCCATTCATGACAGTAAAAAAGAGTAATAATTTTAGGATCACTTGGAAAGACAAAATCACTTTGAGAAAAACTCTTATTTTGCCAATACCAAATGAACCAGCAAGTGACACAAAATACAAAACGCCAAACAAAAATTATTATGTAGTCATTCAAAGACATCCCCTAAAAGCCGAAAAAAGAAATTGAAAAATTGAGACTTTGCCAAATCTGAATAGCGATAGGTCCATCTCTTCGTACATGCGCAATAGAATGTTGGCTTTGCAGAGGAGTGATACACCGATGACCGATCAACCTTGATTATGCTTTGGGAGCAATTAGGCTTTGTAGATACACTTATAGCAACCTGGTTTGAATGTAAACCCTTATGTAACTTGATTCACATCAGGAAGCCTCTTATCCTACTGTTTGGACCCAATTTTGCACCATCGGTCTGAGTAGTCGAGGTCGTTAAATGAACAGGGTCCTAAGCCGTTGGATGTGAATATTAATGTGATTTTCAATTGCTTTACATTATTATGGTTACGATAAACCATGGTAATTAAATAGTTGGAATTATCCTGATCATTTGAAGATTATGCCGTGCATTCAGGTGTTGAATGAGGGTGTGATCAGACGGTTGTTGAAGAGATAAAGAATGAAAGAATATTCTTTTTATTTTCTCATCTAACCAAAACAACAATTTGCATGCAGACGTGGAATAGTTGTTATATAAGGGAATAGGGAAAATAAAGATGAGAATAAGGAGTCAAAGGATGGAATTACATGCAGACAGATTGTGGCACGTGGCTTCGTCTTGGGATTTGGTGATGATATTTCATCAGTTATAATTACGTTTCAAAGTTTAAGTTGGTGAAGGAATGATCATGCATGCATGTGGTCTTTGCTAGGGGAAGTATACATGATGGATTTGATTGGTGAGGTGATTGCATTGAGATAAACTTGTGGTGACGTGATAAGTTTTGAATATAAGGATACGCCTTAGCCTATGGCACGGATCAGCTTCACTAGTTTGAGTTGCAAAGGAACTCTACGTAATCATCAGGCCAGGCCAAGGTAAATATGTTCTATAAATGCAGAAGCATGAACGACTAAGAAGGGACCTTCGACATCAGCATACAATTGCCCTGCGCAAAACCTCTCAAACACCTTGAGATTTTTTTTCCTTTTCTTTTCCTGCCGACACACCTTCAGTTTGGATAAACAGCACTGTGGAAGCAACCGGTGAGCACCTTCAGTTTGGATAAACAGCACTGCTGCCGTAGAATCAGCCGACCGAGAAACACCTTCAGTTTGGATAAACAGCACTGCGTCGAGGTCGACCGATTATCTATCTAAGTCTCGGTCGAGAAGAGTTTTCGAACCTTTGTTGGTAGAGGTCATCTGACTAAGCCTTTTCGGCGTAGTTGGGTGTTACGAATTACATTGCTCGGCGTATTGGACGCCGAGTGAGTTTATGATTGGATACTCGCGAGTAAGTTTCAGGGTTCGGCATTCCGACGGCCGAACTACGTTTACTATCAAGACATATATCACATTCGAGTACCTGTGCCCGTATGTTTGGTCTCGATTCGGCGTGCTTATACTCTCACGAATATAATCACAGTGACCGAACCAGGCTTCGACGATTTGTGAACTCCGTAGAATTAGTAGCCTTGTCTTCAGGCTATAGAATCCAGAGACCGAGAGCGTTCCTTCCTCGGTCGCAATCACAAGATACAGAAGTCAACAGCGCGCTCAACGTGACTACATCAAATTTTACTCCTCGGCCGAGCTCGGCCGACGAGTTGGCACGCCCCGCAATCAACCGAAGGACGTAGTTAGCTCATTAGTTACTCGGCCTGCGCGCCACGTAGGTTTTGTAATATTTAGAGCCAACATTTTGGCACGCCCAGTGGGACCCAGTGCTAGAACTACGAAGTTCATATGATATATCAAGATTTCAATTCGGCTCCACGTAGCCAATTGTACGAGCTCCTAGAGGAATTGAAAAAGCGCAATGAGGAATGAAAACGATCTTTGGAAGTGGAAAAAATTCTTCGTGGCCATACAGAGATGGAAAAGTCATTCGTTTACATGTTGAGAATAAACGCTTCTGTTACCCTGCAAGAGCAATAGGTAAATGAAGACAGGGCTCGATTTAATACTTGGCTAGATGGAAAATATTTTCCTTATGTTTTCGACTACAAATCGATTCCATTTGAGGATTGGTTGGTTGAAAAAACCGGGGGGCAATTTTCCGCTTCGGCCATAATCAAAATTCGGCCTAAGAAGATTGTCGAGATGGCCGAAGAAGAACCTAGGCCACTTATTTGTTCGGTCGAGACTGAAAGTGTAGTAGGCCAAGAAGAAAATGTTCAATTTTCTGAGCCAAAAATTGACTCAGAAAATGATTCGTCAGAGGAGTGTTCCAATGACGAACAAGACCGATACACGGCTTCAAACCATAAAACCACATCGATTGATATGGTAATTGGAGATATGGTCTTGGACGCCGAAACCATGACAGTCGATATGATATTTGGCGATAAAGCCGATATGGAGCCATCCCGTTTGGCTCAGTTGTCCGGGTTAAAAACCGAAATTGGCGAAATTATCATGCGTGGGGGGCATAATAATTGTCCAACACATTTAGTGGCCGAAAATGAAAAATATTTCGCCGAGTCAAAAATATTTGGAGAAAATTCTTTATTCGGCCAAGAGCAAAATCAATTTGAAAATTTTGTTATTACACGATCTCAACTAGGAATAAAACATCGTTGGCCTCCACCTTCTCATGGATCGGCCACTCTTGTTCCCATGTGTTAGATTTCAGTTTTCTTTTTATATATTCTTATCCATCTGGCTATTTGAGCCGATGATATATAAGAAAATAAGGGGATATCAACAACCATCCTGACTTATAAAAAAATATATATATATATAGAAAAATGAATAAGAATTTA